TGAGGCAGACTGATTAAATTTAACAGGAAGAAAACTGGTGCATTTGATTCTTTCTAGTTTTACAGTTTTTATTTGTTCTTTTTATATATACATGACCATAGAGTGTATTTTGACATATCATATACATATGTGGAATATAACCTATTTTAATTAGGATCCCATTCTTGTAGTTGTTCATGTTTTGGAGTTTCACTGGTGATGTATTCACATATGAACATAGGAAAGTTATGTTTGATTTGGTACATTTGGCACACATCCTTATCCAAGTAGGAAAGAAGAAACTTCTGAACAACAGAAAGTAGGATTTAATCATATAAGCTGTAAATTTAGAGATTTCATTCATCCAAAATATAATGGTGTACTTGCTTAGCATGTGCAAAGCCTGAGGTTAATCCCCAACACCACAAAAAAAAAAAAGAAAAAGAAAAAAATAAGTTAACATGAGCAGAAAATATAGATTCAAAAGAATATGATTAGAGTCATGAATGAATGCGAAACTCTCAATGCTATTTTCAGAATAACAAAAATAATAGCTAAAATGCATTGATTACTTCCAGTATCCAAGCACTTCACATGAATTAGCTTGCTGAATCCATGAGGTATTATCCCATTTTATAGACTGCTAATCTAATGCTAAGGAGGTTAAGTAGTCATTTCCTCAAGGTTACACAGCTAGTAAAATGGTAGAGATAAGGTGCACAGGCATCTGATCCCCAGGGCCCACACTAAGGGCAATATTGCTTCCTTAGCCTTTGAAGGTTGTACTTCAAAAATCTTTGTTCCAGACGCAGAAAACTGGGACCAAGTAAATGATAAGTTATACATACCATGACATTTCTTTTGTACAGTTTTAGGATGGTTTTTATGCATTTGTATACTGTGTCAGAATGCTTTTTTTTTTCTTAACAGGAAGAAGTAATTTCAGAAGGAGATAGAAGCTTCAGGGGGAATATTCATTCATTCACTGGGTTCTGTATCAGTATTCCCCAACCACAATTAACACTCTCCCTGCTCTTCACTCAGCACATGCTCCATCCTTTCTTGCACTGTGGTTGGTTTTTTTACGTCTCTCTGTCCCCCAGGATAAACTTTATGTTTTGCCTTCATCTTACTCACCTATGATGATCCTCAGACATCATGCAATTGGCAGATGTCAGTAAATGTTGTATACACAGATAAATAAAATTCTTATTCTATGATAAAAATACTTATACTTGGGAGTAATTTTTCTGTGGCAAGGGAAGGCATATAATGAAATCAAAGAATAAAACAAAAAAAAAATCTCACCACATTATGTTGGAGTCTTCAGACATATCTCACCCTATATCAGTAGATAGAAATATGAGCTCAACTCTTTGTTGTCCTTTAATGTAGCCCCAAGTTACCTCCCTTGTTCTTTCAGCACAGGCTCTCACTGAATCTCCTGTCAAATGTAGTTCTTCCCGCAAAATGTCTGTAAATTCCTGAGGACTTGGATTCTCAGAGTCATTGCCAGCTTTAAATTCCTGCCAGGGTATCTCTCCTGCCACACCCACTCTCTGAATTGCCCTGTACCAAATAAAACATCAGTCTCATCCTCCTCTCTTTTTTCCCCAACCAGTCCTAAAAGAGAAACTGTACATGTTGTTGAAGATTCATGTGAACAATAAGATTTTACATTGCACTAGGCAATGAAATTAAACAGGATAAATTTGGAATATTACCCCTCATCCTTCAAATCTTTATCTTCCCTGTATCAGCCCATTTCTCACTGGCTACCTACCTCTGCAGGCTGCAGCCTTCCACCACATCACTCCCTAGGCCTCTGATCTTTAGACCCCTCTCTTTCCTATTGCTCCAGAAATTCATTTTCCTGTTGTTCTGCCCTGACCCTCCCCTTTCAAGCACTGAGATTCCCTAATGTGTCTCTCTGGGTAAAGCATCTCTATGTGGGGCTTGACCTAGAGCAGGACACACAGCTGGCAAAGGTTTTTTATCATTTTAGTCTTTCCTTTCTTCCTCCTTCTCCACTCTCCTCACACATATGTATGCGTGATTCTCCTTATAAACAGAAATTTGAAATTTACATTTATACTAATATAAATAACACCCACCCCTACACATCCTGAACAGATGCATTCATTTTTAAAAATTTCACTCAAGACTTTTTTTCACCCCAAACAAATCAATATTCCAAAAATCAAAATTACCACCCTAGCCATTCGGAAACAACTCCATGATAGATCAAATGCAAGAAGAATCCATTAATCCAGGCAAATATGAACTGTAAATGAACAAGAGTTCAAAGGCCTTTAAAGCATAATGGAATATAACTAACAATGTTAGAATGAAGAGGAAGTTACAAGTCACTGAATTCAAATTACTCATTTTATAGACAACAACACAGATTATCTGTTTACAGTAAGCAAATGTAGTCATGATTTAAGCAAATTTTTGCTTGTTTAGCTGTCGTATTTTGGTTGGAGCAGCAAAAGGCAGTGTCTATCTTGCAGCTGAAGTGGCTGCCTGTTATCTTTACATGTCCAGCATTCCTTCACCCAACTTCAGGGACAGGAAACTGCCTCTCCCCGCCTTTTTTAAAAATTTATTTATTTTAATCAGTATATATGACAGCAGAATGAATTTTGATTCATTGTACACAATTGAAGTACAACTTTTCATTTCTCTGGTTGTACACGATGTAGTATCACACCATATGTGTACATGTACATACATGTACCTACGGTAATGATGTCCATCTCATTCTACCATCTTCCTGCCCCCATGCATCCTCCCCTTCCCACCTTCCCCTTTGCCCAATCAAAGTTCCTCCATTTTTCCCATGCTCCCCACCATGCCTCTCCCCTTTGTGCACACTCTTCACAAGCTATCACTTAGGATGCTACATCCGTCTGGGTTGAGAGAGGGATACAGGTCCAAAGCTTGGCCTATCAGATGTTCTCTCTCCAGAACACTGAAGACTGATAAGCCCTGGCTGTGGGGCTCTGGAGACACTGCCTATTCAATGCTGCCTGGGTCCTGTCCTCCTCAGAGCTCAGGAGCAGGGCTTCTCTTCCAGATTTCAAAACTGACTGCATTGTCTTCCAACAAACTTTGTCTACTACTTAAATTATCCAGCCTCAATACACATCTTTGGTTTAAAAGTCCTTGGCCTGGAAACTTGACTGGCTCTCCTATCATATTTCACATACGGACTCTGTTGCATATTTCACCACTTTCTTCAGTCTTAGCAATGAAGTTAAACTCTGAGCAAAGAAGTAACATTTTATTATTTCAATCAAAATAGCATAGTGCTGACTTGGAAACAGAAATCTTTCCTAGCAAATAAGGATCCACTTTTTTTTTCTTTTTTTAATTGCGGTAAAAAAAATACACATGACATAAAATTTATCATCTTAACCATTTTTAAGTGTACAGTTTATTATTATTAAGTATATTCAAATTTTTATAGAAGAGAAAAAATTCTTAACCTCAGCATGACTGGCATTTTTTACTACATAGTTAGTTCTTTGTTAGGGTGGGGACCTGTCCTTTCTATTATAATGTGCTTAGCAGTAATCCCTGGCCTCTATTCACTAGATGCAGAATATCCTCAGTCATAGTAATCAAAAATGTTTTCAATATTGCTAAGTTTCCACAGGGGAAAAAATAGATCCTGTTCTGAACCACTACATCAAAGAAAATAAGTTTTTATTTCATTGCATTACACCTAGTGTCTCTTCTACCTTTTTATTCTCCCAGGACCCAACCATCCTCTAAGCCTGTGCTATCCTATAGGAAAGAAAACCAGTAAAATATTAAGTGACACTGGCTGGTTTTGACACTATTTGAGAAAAGGATTGTCATACGTTAAGAAATAAACCCTCCTGTATGCCAAACCAAGATACAATGTATGTGTGAAATGCATAAGATTTGTTTGAATTATGTGAATTTATTTTATTGTCAATAAACTCCAGTTTAAGAAAGAGATCTAAGCACATGACTTTTGTTTTATTTTTCCCCCTTTAAGGTTTCATATAAGTGATTAGTGAAGGAATAAAACAATAGGAGGAAGAATGGATTTTTTTCAATATATTATAGAAGACCTAATATAGACACTAAATAAAACATAATCCACCTCAAAAGTTGAAATGCAGTTAAATTGCACAACTATAGAAAGGCTCTGAAGACACAGTTGGAAGGTATAATGAAGGCAAAGTGAAAAGTAAAGTCAGGAGACCAGCTCTATGTGTGAATATGACACTCAATTTCATCTCATCCCTCCAAGAAAAATAGCCCAAAGCTAGGTGCAGTGGTACACACCTATAATCCCAGCAGGTCAGCAGGCTGAGGCAGGAGGATCACAAGTTCAAAGCCAGCCTCAGCAACTTGGGGAGGCCATGAGTAACTTAGGAAGATCTTGTCTCTAAAAAAAAATATACAAAAGTGTTGGGGATGTGGCTCAGTGGTTAAGCAACCCTGGGTTCAATCCCTAGTATTTAAAAAAAGAGAGAGAGAGAGAGATCCAGATATTCATTTCCAGACAAAATATCAAAGGATTCTTTGCTAGATAAATTTTTAAATGTTTTGAGAGAGGACAGGATGTTTAAAGTGGATTCCATGTCTCAAAAAACAAAACCAAAAACCATGTTTTGGCTTTGAGATTAGGGTAAAGACTCCACCCTTCTGCTCATCCTACATTAAATGTACAAGTGAACAAGATGCATCCATTTACATTAGTCATCTAGTCATCTTCATTATTGTCCCATTAATAAGATTAAGTGGGGGATCAAATACTAGATATTAGAGGAAATTTTGTAGCAGCAAAGGGCTTTATCCCTGAAGAAACAGAAATAATTTAGAGAACAGATTTAAGAAAAAAAAATAAGATACTCTCAGAGAAATGTGAAAAGATATTACATACTTAAACAACATGTTATTTTTTAAATGAACACAGAAAAAGCCAAAGCTTATGGAAATTGAAAACATGTTTACCAAAATAGAAATACAGTTTTAAAAAAAAAAGAGCAAGAAGATAAAGGAAGGACTGGGATTGTGGCTCAGTGTTAGAGCGCTTGCCTGGCACATGTGAAGCCCTGGGTTTGATCCTCAGCACCACATAAAAATACATAAGTAAAACAAAGGCTTTGTGTCCATCTACAACTAAAAATATATTTTTTTAAAAAAGGAAGACACTCAGAATGGAGTGCCAAAAAACAAACCTTAGAAAAGATCTGCTTGGGGTCGGGTCCCCAGAATTCCCTTCTCCATATGTTTTTGTTTTGTGGTTGTGGGGATTGAACCCAGGGCCTGGTACATATTAGGCAAGTGCTCTAACACTGAGCTACAACCCCACCCATTTTTATTACATTTTGAGACAGGGTCTCACTAAATTGCCCAGGCTGCCCTGGAACGTGTGATCTTCCTGCCTCAATTTCCCCAATAACAGGGATGACAGACGTGTGTCATCGCACTCAGTTCTTCATATGTTTCTATTTAGGGCTGGTCACACACACACACACACACACACAGTGTGGGATTTGGATGGTGGAAATAAAGCAACAGTTACTCTCTCAGGATTGATGTAGTCTGACACTGTTGTAGCTCATAGCCAGTTGTACAGATCTATTAATTCATATGGTGAACACAAAATGCTGCAAGGCCTACAGCTCCAGCTACCACATGATCTCTTACTTCAATTTCTCCAAATCCTGAGCCAGGCATGTGTATGGCTCGACAATTAGAATCCCAGGACCTCCTATAGTTCATCTACAGCAACAAAGTTGGAAACTCAGACACATGGAGAGACCATCACAAGTTCTGGTGAGAGGCAGACAGGGGTTCCAGCTTTCCTCATGGGTCCCAGTTGTCCTCCTGGCACCTCTTCACGTCCATCCACTAACCTCTATACCTGTGCAAGGTCAGCACCTGATGCAGAACAAACAGACAAACCAGGATAATCTCACAGATCCCACAACAGTGTAAGTTCCTTATTTAATATCATTCTAAATGTTTCTTCTTCTTTGAATCCTGTCTGATAAAACAGCTGATAGAATTTTAAAAGAGTCTAGGCAAAATAAAGAATATATCAAAGCAATAATTGGGCATTTTCCAGCCCTGAGCAGGGTAACTCTTTGAGGAGATTTTTAAATTGAAAGAGCCTATATCATGTTGAAATTTCTGAACACTAAAGCAAAAGAAATTTTAATATTGCCCCAAGATTTTAAA